GGCGTATTCTCTTAGCTACTTCCTGCTGAAAAGGGACGCTGTGGGTTTCAGGGTGAAGATCTTCTCTCATTACTCTAAAGGGCCCCTTTGGCAGTAGGAAACACATAGACTATTATGGAGATTGATTTTGGAATTTAGATGCACTCTTATACTATTTTTTAATGTATTAATAGTATTAATTTGTTAATTAATAGTATTAATTTGTTTCTTGCTGTTATTCTAACAAATTACCAGCACTTTTAGTATTTATCCTTGTTTCTTGAGATAGTCCAGGCATGATGTGACTCATCTACATTCTCTTTAGGTCTTAGAAAGAAGAAATAAAATTTTCTTTTTTTCCCTTTTAGATTAGATAGCTTAACTATTTAAAAAAATTTTATTTATTTATTGTAAAAAAACATGTATGGGAACCCAAGGAGGTAAAAGAGGTGGGAGCAGAAGGGTGAGGCTGTTTGGGATGAAATCACAGGGTTGCACAATTTGGTGGATGGAGGGAGTAGGTAGAAAGATCGGCAGGAGAAATACAGGATAATGGTGGGCATAGTCAAATAGTGATGAGTTTTTTGTTTTTTTTTTTTACAAAGAGATTGTCTTTTTTATTTGTGGGTTTCCCATTTGGGAATAGGGGCACAGACTCTGGCTGCTTCATGCTGACCAGGGGCGTTGAGATGAAGGGGAAGGGGAGCCCACTTTAACACTTACTGGTGGTCTTGATCTGAAGATGCATGCCTCCTTGTTCAGTTAGGAGATATTTTCATGACGTTTTTCTGCCCTCTGGACTGAAGGTGTTTGTGTGGGTTAGTCCAGTAGGAGTAGCTGGCTGAACTTTGAGGCTCTATTAACTTCTGCTTCCTTAGCTGGCAGTTATACTTCTCTTTTGTCTCTGGAACCAGGCTCAGGGTTCAGGTTCTGGAGCAAGATTCAGTGTTCGGGTTACCTATGGGAAAGGGAGCAAACCTAGAGAGAATGAACTTGTGAATTACAAAGAAAAGGGCTTTGGAAGTGTTACTTACAGGTGTACAGGAGGAGGAGATGGAGGAAAGGGACTTAGATAAAGTTTCTCACATACACCAGGTGGCTCTCCCCAGGGGCCGGAAGGTTTTCCCACTCCCCAAAGCTCTTCTGAAGTCTGGACCTTGTATGCTCCTGGGACTGCACTTCTGACTCTAGGGAACCACCATCATTGCCCCCTTCCTGTCCACCAAGTGGTCGATTTGTGACTCGAAATAGGTATTATTACTTTTCCCTTCCATAAATGGAAAAGAGGCTTCCAGAGTGGTGAACATACTTAATCAAGATTGAAAAAGTAATAAAGGGAGTAGAACAAGGTTAAAAAGTTAAAAAAGCAGCAGAACAAGGATTCAAACCAGGGTTGTGTGAAGGCACGCTGTGAGGCAGGGAGCGCCATCTTTTGTCTTCCTCTCCAGAGCCTTTAAAAAGGTCACAAACTTGTTTTTTCAACTAGTCATTTGCTAGCAGCTCCTTCTCCCACCATGCTTTCTTTTGTTGTTCTGAAATAAAATTTTCAAAGCTTGAGTGAAATGGAACGATATTTTAAGTTCTTTATCCAGATTTAGAACTATAAAGCTATATATAAAAAACTGTAAATTATATCTGTGAAACGTTTGGCACATCTTAATTCTGCTTTCACTAAATAGTAACTATTGAAATAAAATTGATATATCATACATTGCATGTACTTAAAACAATACCGTTTACAAATTTCTTTTATATATGTGTATTCATATGAAACCATTTTCATGATCATTATAGTGAACATATCCATTACTCTATAGCTTCCTCTTGCCCCTTTGTATTCCCTTGCCCCTATCTCTTCCACATTCCTTGTCTTACTTAATTCACCAACTACCCTGCAAGGTTGATGACCATTATTATTTTAAAGAATCTTAACAACCGTAAACACCTTAACCTGTGGTTAGCTGTGGTGGTGTAATCCAAAGAGGAGCTGCACTGCTAACCCACAGCGAGTGTGTGTCTGTCCATTTGAATCTACCAGTGACTCCGAGGGAGAAAGATGAATACTGTCCTCCCATAAGATTTACAGCCTCTGAAAACCAGCTAGAGGGTTATCTCTGAGTTCATTCCAACTTGATGGCAATTAGAATTAAAAAAACTAAGTTATCCAATTACAGTTAGAATGGCAAAGGTAGAATAGAGTGACCAGATTTTCTAACTCCTGGCACAGCTAAAACTTACTATTTTTCAGGACAAGAAGCTTAGCATGTATCTACAGAATTTCTTCTCCCATATTTTTTACCCCCCCGAAGTGCTACAAGATTCACAGGTTGTTGTTGTTGTTAGATGTTGTTGGGCTGGTTTTTACTTATGGAGACTCTGTACAACAGAACAAAACACTACCTGGTCATGCCACCCTCATGGTCTTTCCTGTGTTTGAGAATATAGTTTGCAGCCACTGTGTTGGTCCATTTTGCCAAGGGTCTTCCTTTTTTTAACTGACCTTTTGCTTGACCAGGCATGATGTTCTCCTCCAGGGACTACCCCCTCCCAATAACATAGCCAAAATATGTGAAAAGAAGCTGCACTGTTATTACATTCTAAGATTATTCATTCTAAGGCAGTCAATACTGTTTAATATTCTTTGTTGTTTTTGTGTTCTTTAGAGTTGGAATCGACCCATAGCTGACCCTCCAACAGGTTTTCAGAGGGAGTTAATCACATGGGAGGAGATTGCCCATCCTTCTCCTTCGGAGTGGCTGGTGGCTTTGAATCACATGCCTTTGAGATTGCAGTTTCGCTTTTTGCCACTAGGCCACCAGAGCTCCTTGGTAATATTCTGGCTGGTAATATTCTTTACCAACACCAATAATTAGAGACCTCTCCAAATTACTGAGAAATAATGATTCAGGCCAGGCTCCTTCCGATTACTTTCTCTGAGTCTGAAAGCTGGGCAATGAATAAAAACTACAGAAGAAGAATTGATGTCTTTGAGCTGTGGTTTTGGAGCAAAGTGCTGAACATCCATTGTTTGGCCAAGAGAACAAATATGTCTTGGAGAGGGTGTAGCCAGAGTGCTCTTAGGAGGCAAAATGAGGAGGCGTTGCTAGTTGGAGTTCCTTAGAGAGGGACGTGATGCTAAGAAAGGAGGAGGGTTGGCAAGGAGAGGAAGACCCTTGACCTGGTGGAATGACATGATGCAATAGGCTTTTGTGTGTCAGGAAGTGAGTATGATTCAGGATAGAACAGGGTTTATATCTTTTGTTCATAGGGTCACTGTGAGTCATATTTAACTTGATGGCACCTAACAACAACAACAACCAGCAGTACCATAATTCAAAGGCATTAATTATTCTTCATTCTTCCTTATTCATTGTTCAGTTTTTGCATGAATATGAGGTGATTGAAAATACTGTGGCTTGGGTCAGGAGCACTTTAGTCTTCAAAGTGATATCCTTGCTATTTAATATTTTAGAGAAGTCTTTGGCAGCATATTTGCCCCTTGTAGCATGTAATTTGATTTTTTTGACTACTGTTTCCATGACCATTTATTATGAATCCAAGTAAAATGAAATCTTTGATAACATTATTTTTTTTTTCTCCATTTACCATGATTTTACTTATTGGTCCAGTTGGGAAGATTTTTGTTTTCTTGCCTTTTTTTAGATTTAATCTATACTGAAGGCTGTAGTCTTTGATTTTCTTCAATATGTGCTTCATGTACTCTTTATTTTTAGCAAGCAAGTTTATGTCATCTACCTACAGATGCACTGTAGGGTATAGAATGCATCTTCCTCCAATCCTGATATCACAGTCATCTTCTTATAGTCTAGATTCTTAAAATTATTTCATTATTGCTTTCTAAATGCTAGTGTGGCCGGAAAAGAATCTCCTGGGAACACTTCACTCCTTCTGTGTAGTTTTGTGACCTCTCAGTTTAAGCATTTTTTTAAAAGCTTCTTAACTGATATCTTTGACTTTTTACTAAACTAAGTAGTATGTGAAGCCCCTTTAAGTTCAGAGAGAAAAAAAATACCCTTTTGGACCTCCAGTGTTTATTTAAATTGATTTACATAACAAAAAACCCTAGGGTTACAGTGTGTTTTCCTTTTCCTTTGAGGGAGCTCTGATGGCTTAGTGATAGGGATTCACAGAGCTGCCAAGCATGAGGCTTGAACCCACCATTTACTCTGAGGAGGAAAGGTGGACACTCTCCCCCTGTGATTTACAGCCTCTGGAAACCTGCTGTAGGGTCAGCTTCTGTCTGACTGGACACATAGCAAAAATGATAACATCTCCTTTATGTTTATGCTTTTCTTTCCATTTTAGTTTATGTCTGTGCAGGTATAAAACCAGAACAAATTTAAAGTAAAATATATATAACTACTATACCAATGTTGTTGAGCCAGAACTGACCCTTAGATGACCCTTAGTGGGTTTTCAGTAAATTGCGCAGAAGATTGCCCATCCTTCTGCAGAGCAGCTGGTGGATTCATACTGTGTGTTTTTGGGATTTCAATGCATACTCTACCAATAAGACTCTTAAAATGCATTGAAGTCAGATTGCCCTTGAGTTAACTGAGACACATGATGACTCCATTTGTAGCACCCAGGGTCTCCTGAGGGACTTTTTTATTACAGGATGCTGAGCTCCCCAGGAATCTTTCAAAGGTACTTGAACTGTGCCACTTTATAATACCTTCCATGTGGGGCTGTACATACTGAGATCAGCTCTTTAAAAAATAGTGGTTCAGTCTGAGGAGCTTTGAAAAACCTCCCTTTTGTGCTTTCCTGTTGCCCACAGTTACTGCTTTCTTATCTGTGTAGGTGGGTGAGAACCTTCAGTAAAGAGCACTGCACTGCATGACTGTGGTTACTGGTACAGAACTATGATTAATCGTGTAGTACTGTTATGGAATATTTACCTGAAATACCTTTTGTTGAATATAACTGTTAATCTAAGATTTTTTTTTTTAAAGCAATTTAGCTTTGATATAGCTGAAGAAGCATCTAAAGTCTGCCTGGCGCATCTTTTCACGTATCAAGATTTTGATATGGGAACTCTTGGATTGGCTTATGTTGGGTCTCCTAGAGCCAACAGTCATGGAGGTGTTTGTCCAAAGGGTAAGTTTTTCTGTTTGTAATGTGAATGTGATAGTGGAGTAATATAGACTGGTTGTGATAGAGTTTTATATTTCATAAACATTTTGTTCTGTTTGCCTTCTTTCTAGCTTATTATAGCCCTATTGGGAAGAAAAATATCTATTTGAATAGTGGTTTGACCAGCACAAAGAATTATGGTAAAACCATCCTTACAAAGGTATGTTATTTTTTTAAAAGGAAAGATTTGGAGACAAATGTGTTAGAACTTTATTTCTGCCACATCTTTCTTCCACAGAGCAGACTGAAGGGTCAGACTACTAGGCGCCCTATAGCAGCCATGTGCTTAATTAAGCCTTGTATCACCGATGTTCTTTAGTGTATTTGTGTAGATATTTTAATAGAAGAAATTATTTTCTCTTTCTGCCTGAAAGAGACATATATAAAGTGAAGCCTTTGACTTGCTTTTCTTGGTCTTTCAAATTTCCCACCTTTGACAGGGTTGTTGTTGTTGTTGTTATGTGCCATTGAGTCGTCTGTGACTCATAGCGACCCTATGCACAACAGCCCTAAACCCTGCTCTATCCTGCGCCAACCGCACTGCCTCTGACACACCCAT